CCTTGGGAAGGATTCATAGAAACAGGCAGAGAGGAGAGGAATTGGAGTAAAATCTTAGGAAAGTCAAATTGAATTCAAATCATTTCACTATAACAAACTCTTATCTGGCGGGGACTTAATGCCTGGGGAGAGATACGCAGCAGGCAGCCAAGAAATGCTTGCAAATGAATGAATGAACTGTGTACCTCGCCTTTCTGATGCGTCCTTCCCCCCTCCCCCATAAGTTCACTCTCTCCTTCCTTCCCTGCCCCCAGCCCCCATTCCCTATTCATTTGCTGAGCCACCAAAGGCCAGCTCTGCCCGCATGCACCTTGACGCTGATCAGCCAGCCAAGTCCTTGTTTCCAGAGAGCTGCTTGGCTGGAAATAGCCGGTTCTAACTTGTGCCTGCCTGAGCGGGACAGGACTGGGGCCGCTTGGGGGGTGGGGGCGGAATCCTTGGAAAACCTCAGGGGCAGGATGATCTGATTTGGCCTTGAGGGATGGAGATTCCAAAAACTGTGGAGAGGGTGGCTAGAGGTAGAGGGTGGGTGGGTGAGTGAGTAGGGGTGGGTGTGTGTCTGAGTGTGGATAGGGACCTGTGGCAAAGAGGTAGGAGAGTTTGTTTGCCCTGAGGACCCCACGCTGGATTGATGGCGAGGCCTGGGAAGACCACCAGCCCGCAGCCCTAAGAGGCTTGGAGCTTTTGAAGGGCTTTTAAGTAGGTGATAGGGTCAGTGTTGGCTCTGTGGAGTGGACTAGAGGCAGGGAAAGATCATGGCAAAAGGTGCAAGGAAAAGGTGGCTTGGGTACAGCAGTGGCTGTCAGGGGAGGGGAGGAACAGGTCACTCTGAGACATTTAGAGGAAGAACTGATGGGGGTTGATGGCAGTTTGGATGTGAGGGGTGAGGGTGTCACTGGGTTATCTGTATTAAAGAATATAACAGAATACTTCCCTACACCAAGTCCTTATAGGTACTTCCCTAGCCTGGCTACTCTGTCCAGGGACTCCTCTGATTCAGGTGCTCCACCTGCAGATGCTGCCCAGCCCAGGTACTTCCTGGGCTGTCTCTCCCCAGGTACTTCCCAACTTTGGAGTTCTTCCTCGAGCTCTGCTGCAGGTCCAGGTGGGCCTCCCCACACGCCTTTGATTCAGGTGCTCCTCCAGCTATTCCCCTCACCTGGGTGCTCCTCTGGCAGGTTCCCTGCCCAGGTGGCCCTCATCTGTAACCTTTCCTGACTCAGGAGGTCCTTGCTGGAATAGTCTCTGGCATGATCCTCCCTCTGGGGGCAGTGTGGGCCTTCTGTGGGTGGAGATGAGTAGATGGGGTTTGCTGGAAAGCTTGAGGGCAGAGATGTGGCAGCAGTGGTACGGGGAGCAGAGGTTCAGGGCTGTCCTGGCTGTGTCTGGGGCCCCTAACCTGGGTAGGTAGGAGGGCATTGGCCTTCTCATGTGGTCTGCCCTGTGTCTAGGTAGCTCCAAACAACTGCTCTTGTCCAACCTTTGGGAGCCACGAACAGCTTCTGCCTCCATGTCCCATCCTTAGCCAAACAGCATAGCAGACTGGGCTGTGGTGTCAGAGACCTGGGTTCAAATTCTAGGGCTTTGATTGAGTTAGTTTTTGGACCTCAGCATCCTCTTCTGTAAGGTGGAGATGATGTTCATACCTTTAGGAATGTACAGCCAGTTTCTGCATACTTGGCTTGTTTCTTCTGTGGACAAGTGATGTGGTGAGTTGTCCAGGCCCCAGCATTTGTGCCATGCCCTAACATGGCTGTGTGACCTGGAATATATGCTCTCTGTCTATCCTTGACACCCACACCTCTTTGTATTTTCCAGGACAGAGGCATAGGCCTCTGGCAGAGGTTGAGGCTCACTGATGTCATCAGGCCCTTCCATGAATGGGACAAGCCAAAGTGAGTGATAGCACACGGTGGATAAGGAGAGGGTGGGTTCTCTTAGCTGCTGAGATTGGGGGAGGATCCTGCCCACCCTCCTTTCAGTTTCCCACCTATAATGCTTCTCTTTCTCTGCAGCCCCTGTGGAGCCCTCGAAGCTCCCCGCAGTAATATCCACGACCCCTGGACTGGGCACTGGGGGCCGGGCGTGGCCTGTGCTGGTAGGGGTTGTTCTGGGGGCTGTGGTCTTCTCTGTGCTCCTTGCACTTGCTGCCAAATTCCATGTCTGCCGCCGCTACTATGCCAGCTACCGACACCGCCCACTGCCCAGAACAGGAAATGGGAACCGCCCAGAGGTGGGTGAAGATGAGGATGATGATGGTTTCATTGAGGACAATTACATTCAGCCTGGGGCCGGTGAGCTGGAGACGGAGGGGAGCAGGGACCGCTTCTCCCTCTGAGCCCTGATCTTTGGATCCTCTCTTCCCTCCATGCCTGGCAGTTTTAAGGACAGCCGATGCTAAATAGGAGCCTCAAGCCTCAGGGACAGAGGGGACAATGACTTAAATGTTGACCAAGAGTAGCGCCATTCTCTCCTTCCTGACACTAGCCACCAAATGACAATGACCTTCTCTTGCTCAATAACTCTAAATGACTCCCTGCTGTACCTGGAAAAAGCCCAATAACCCTATGAGTATGGAGAAAAGGCCCTCTGTGACTGGCCTACGTGGACTTCTTGTTTCCTCTTTTACCTTCCCCTACTTTACTCCCTTCTTAATTAGGTGAAGTTTTTGCTCAGGTTGTTCCTTAGCCTGGGCTGCCATACCCTTCTCTAAGTCCCCTCTGATAGTGCTGAAAATTCTAGCCCATAGGCCCTCTATGGCCTGCTTGCCTACCTGCCAGCATTGCACATGTGCCCAGATGGTGCATTTGAGCAGGTGAAATCAGTGCCAAGTTTCCTAATGAATATCTTTCTTATTAATAAAGTGGGTGATCTGGTTGTAATACATTGTTTTTCACAGGAATTAATAAATCTATTTTCATTTTGGATAAACATAAAAAGTCATCATTCATTTATATTTTTCCTGAAAGATACATATCATTCACAGCTGGAAGACACTGCTTCAAGATCCCCTGCACCAGGATACCCTCCATGAGCACCTCCCTCAATCACACCCTGAGAATTTCTCCATGTTTTATTTTAATCTCTATGACAACTGATATCACCCTTCACCATGCCTTTCCCTACAGCTAGACGGTGAGTTCTCTCAGTCCCCAGGTTGTATCTTATTCTCTAGTCTTGTTACTGGAGTCCTAGGCCAGAGGCCTAGCTGGGGAGGTCTCAACAAATCAGATCCTGCCATGCACCCCCAAAACCAAGAAGAAAGGTAATGATGAAAAGCAGGAAAGTAATCTTAATCAATATAGCCATATTGGGAAGGCAAAGTGAGAACAAGCATCTCAGCTCTGTCTTTGAGGGTCTGACAATGACTTTGAAGTTTTACAAGAAGACAAATGAGGGTAAGGGTTGGACATTTTCATGGCTGGAGGGTTTGCACAGCTGGCAAAGCAGTGATCTTGGTCAGGTGTGGTCTGTTCCATCATATGTCAGGATTAGTCAATTAGAGCTTACCCTAAGAAAGTTATTACTGCCTGGGGAGGGGGTGGTTTCCTCTATCATAAGATGTTTATCGATAAGATCTGTTGTTTCTGGAATCTAAGGTGCCTCAGAGCAAAGGAGATAGAAGTAAAATGGAGGCAGAGATGCCAAGTTTTTAATCCTGTTTTTAATTAACCATTGGACATTTGCAGGCAAATGTGAAGCCTCTCAAGTCCTTGTTTCAGTTTTAGATTCTCTCATGACATGGACGCTAAATAGATACCACCAGATCTCCATATCCACGGGTTCTGCATCCTTGGATTCAACCAACCATGGGTTGAAACTGTTTGGGAAAAAAAAATTGTAGAAATATCCAAAAAGTAAAATGTGGATTTGACATTTAACAAGTATTATGATGAGTCCATGGGGATGAGCTGATGTGCAGGCATTGTATTAGGTACTGTAGGTAGTCTAGGGATGATTTAAATTATGAAGTAGGATGTGCATAGGTTATATGCAAACATGATGCTGTTTTATTTAAAGGACTTGAGCATTTGTGGATTTTGGTATCTGTTGGAACCAACCCCTTATAATACTAGATTCCGAGGGAGAGTTGTATTGTTGAATTACTATGGGCTGAGGAGTGAATGGATGAAAGGTGAGGAAGTAGTCAGGATGTGGAAGATTTTACCAAGAATCTTGGCAAAAGAGGAGAAGAAGAGGGTCATGATTTTGGAGGGGAAATTTAAGAGCAAGGAGGGCAGTTTTAAGATGGGAGAGACCTGAGTTAAGCTTCTCTAATTGCAAACAATAGAAAGGAGTTTGGAGAAGAATTCTGGCTGTTGTGTGGAATCAAAGGGTCAGCTGATAGGAAAAAGGAAAAGAAAGGTGGGGGCGAATCTCATGAAAATCAAAGGGAGATCAGTAGAGGAAAGGGAGGGGTAAACTGCCAGGGTGTGATATTGGCCAAATTATATTGTTATATTGTATGAAAGTATGAATATGTAATAAAAAAAATAAAAGTGTACATCATTATGTACAACAATAATGTACCAATATAGAATGTGGGAAAGTAAATAAATGGAGAGATAAACACTGTTCATGGATGATAATAAGAAAACAAAAGGATGATTTGGATGTAGGTGGTCTTAGTGGTTGGAGCTCAGGCATTGTAATCTGTGCTTGTCACTTAGGGGCATTGATGAGAGAGACTCTCTGCTTAGGACTTTCAAATTCTTGAATCCAAATTTCAAGTTCTTGAGCAAGAGAACCTGGCCAATTTGGGTCAAGTATTCACTGCTGGGCCAATCCACTATGACTAGGAAGCAGGGTCCTATAGCATTCACATGATTTGGGTGGTCCCACGTCTTTTTTTCCAGATCATTCCCAGACAAGGGGCAGTTCTCACAAGCCAGGTGGCTACCTTTCCATGTGTCCACCAGGATGCAGTGTCAGTATTTGAGGGAAAGAAGGAAAATGTTGGTGTGTTTTACACAGGGAGGGGCTTGAGACAGGCAGAAGGTTAAGGAGGACTTGAGTCTAGTGTCTGGGGGTGCCCATGGCAGCCATGAAGCTTGAGAGGATTCATTAGAGCTTTGGAAGTTGAGATGCAAAGCTCACAGTTCAGCCTGAGAGCAACTGAGGCTCAACTGTGACTTTGTGTGTATGTGTGTGTGTGTTATATAATCATGATAGAAAAATTATCTTGTTGTGCAGAGACAGAAATTCAAAGACCACCTAAGGTGTGGCTAGGGGAACAGAGAGACTCCAGAGACGAGGAGGCATAGCTGACAGAACTTGTTGATTTGGGATATGGGGAACAGTAGGTATCGATAACAGTTGCCCTGTTTTCTGGCTCAGTAACTGGGTGCAATGATGAAGAGTAGGTTGGGGGATTGGTGGTTGGTTTAATGTTGAATGCAGGATTTCCAAGGGGAGATGCCAGGGACAACTGGGCTCATGGCTCATGGGGAGAAAAGTCCAGTCTCTGGACATGGGTTTGTGGATAATCAGCACTGTGGTCATTGAAAGCAGGAACAGATGAGATGGCCAGGGAGGGGCAGAGTAAGAGGAGGTGCTGGAATAGAGTGGGGACCTTATCTCAGGGATTGTCAGCAGAAGAAGGCCTGGAAGGGAAGGCTAGAAGGAAGCAGCAAGCTCATGCAGCCCACCTACCAATTGCTGCTGAGTCCAGAGGTTTGACCCTCAAAGGCTTGGGAAAAGCAGAGGCTGCTCTAGCCTGAGACTCACAGGGAAGGCCCCGAACAGTTGGCCTAAGAGACGGAGGGCTCCTTTCCTCTGAGGGAGGTGTTGCTGCAAACGCAGTTGAGCCTGTCCCATGCATTTGAGTTTCTTTGATTCCCACCATAGAGGAGCTTCCCTACACGCAGTTCTGTAACAGAATAACTCTGCTGTTCCTATTTTCACACACTTTTTGACATCTGGGTCAGTACCTCTAGGGGTCCAGGAGAAGGTAAGGTCTCTATTCCAGATTAGCAGTTGCTTTCCCTGAGCCCCAAACCCACAAGGTTCCACTAGCCAGGATTTCTCTTAGAACCTGCCAAACTGGGCTGAGCAGGATCCTGGAGTTACAGGAATCTTGAATCCTGTTTATTTAGGCCTCACTGGATTCCTTGGAAGACTCTGTTCCCATTGCTTTTCACATGCCTGGCCCCAGGCACAGAGGGTGCTTGAACTGGATCTGCAGGCTCAGAGTGCCAGAGCTGCTAGAACTGTTGGGAGGCTAGGCACTCACCAGGGCTTCTCTGTCTGGTCTGGCATCAGATCCTGGTCCTCACCTGCCTGTGTCCCTAGCCCTGTACATTGTCTTTCACTCCTCAGCACCTGCCACTACCTGTTATGCCCTGGGAACCTCAGCATGTCTTTGGAGGACAACCCAGCTTCCTGGCTGCTTCCAAAGGCAAGGCCACACATCCCTTATCTTGTGTGGTGGTCAAAGACAGTGGGGGTGGGGGGAAGAGGAAGGTGTCACAAAAGCCACAGCCACAAAGTGTAAGAAACTCCAGCTGCACTCTAGCTCAGTAGCAAAGTGATTTGGGAGCACAGGTTACCTGGATTCAAAATCCCAGATCTGCCATTTACATGCTGTGTGATCTTGGCAAATTACTCAGACCCTGAGTTCCCTAACTTTATCTCAGTAAAGTGGGGATCATAAGTATTTGCTTCACATGGCTGTTAGCTGGACTAAAAGAATTCTAAACATAAAGTAGAACAAGTGTTCTAGCTGTATCTTGACCCGCACCCCCAGGGCACTGGCTCCTCACAAAGGTAGCTAGCCTTAATCCCAAGGATGGGGAGTTTGCCAAACCACCACCCTCCTCATTCACTTCCTGCTGGAAACTTGAATTTTTCTGTTTTCCAGGACTCAGATAGGAAGATCTGTTCAGAACAACAAAGGATTTAGATTAAAACCTCTGACACTGTAAAAATAATATTAACACGAGGAACAATGACCATATTGATGTTGTACCTGTACTTATCTTATAATAGCTCTGCTGGGCAGGCAACCTTGCTTTCTAGACTGAATGTTGAAGCTAAATCATTTTCACATGCCTGGCCCCAGGCTTTCACCACCTTACCCAACTCATCAGCATCTTCTTATCTTTTCACCCAGTGCCAGCTTAAATTTTGAGGTTTGTTATGCCACTGTCTCTTGCCTTTATTCCAGCAATTGTAATTGTAACTTGCCTGTTCACCCAGCAATAGCAGCTCTGTCTCACCTTTTAGTAAGGATAAAACAGACTCACAGCAGGAATGTCCTAGGTGTAGACCCACCACCACCTTGCCTGGCTGGCTCCCCTATCACCCCCATCCCAGCAAACGGGGGCCCAGCAATTTCAGAGTACAAGCTCCAGGTGTGGGAGAGCAGGCTGTGAAGGTGGAACTGGTCTGCTTCATCCTTGCCAAGCCTGGCCTTTGGCATCTGTGGTCCTTCAGATTCCAGAAGTGACTTCTAAGGCTATGCCCAGAGGAGTCTCACAGGTCCTGGAGAAGAGTCAAGAAGGCATCCCCTGTCCTTGTGAAGGATGCTAAGCACAAGGGGGTATGTGCAGGTCCCTTGGGCCCTGGAGGAAGTTTCTCTAGGGAAAACCCGTGTTTTCAGAAGGCCTGAGGCCTCATATGGGATGTGACCGGATATGGTATGAGAACCACCTGAACTGGGCCAGATTTGGCAGTTTTTTGAACATATTCTTCCAGTATCCAGATATTCAGGCATCATGGTTGAGTTTTCCAGGTAAGCCAAGGGGGAATCTTATGGTGGGGATCTGGAATGTCCCACAAAGTCTCACGCTAAGGGAATGATTGAATCATGAGGGCTGTAACCTCACTGATGGATTAATCCATTTGATGGATTAATAACTTGAATGGCCTTCAGAGAGGCAGGTGGGGTATGGTCAGAGGAAGCAGGTCACTAAGGGTGTGCCCTTGGGGACTCTATCTTGTCCTCTCCCCATGCCCTTCCACCATGATGTTTTTGCCTTGAAGCTAGCTGACCATGAACTGAATCCTATGAAACTAAGCACCCAAACAAATCTTTCTTCCTCTTAGTTGTTTTTCTCAGGTATTCACAGCAGTGGGAAGCTGAATAACACAAGGGACACGTGTCAAGTTTCTCTCTCTGTCTCTCTGCACCTCATCTGTCACCTGATGAGAGCTTCTAAGTCCAGACTACCCTTCTCTGCTTCTATCAGCATCTTCTTCTTTGAACCAGTGGTTCTCTATTGCTAAGCTACATCCCTAGTTCTTTGTATTTTATTTATTATTTTGAGACAGGGTCTGGCAATTTGTCCAGGTTGATCTTGAACTTGTAATTCTCCTGCAGCCTCCTGAATCGCTGGAATTACAGGCTTTCACCACCTAACCCCACTCATCAGCATCTTCTTGTCTTTTCACCCAGTGCCAGCTTAAATTTTGAGGTTCGTTATGCCGCTGTCTTTTGCCTGTATCCCCAACTTACCTGTCCATGGTCTCAGCATTGCATACTCTTGGCGACACTCTCACCTGGGGTCAGCTGCTCCCTGCGCCTGCAACTTGGCTTCTGTTGATGCCTGGTCCCCAGCCTCATGAAGGCTCTCAAAACTTCCACGAATCTTGCTGTTTTCTTGGTCAGATCCTTCCCCCTTCTCCATAGCAGTTCTTTAACACTGCTTTCGCCTTGCAGAGAATAGCTGTTGGTCAAGGCCTCTCTCGATTTTCTGTTTTCAAAATCCATATCCTTTCTTCTTTCCTATTAAAATGGAGCTGCAAGTCCAATTCTCCATCTTTTGGCTCCACCCACCTTCCCCTGCTCAGGGACTTTGTTCTAAGACTGACTTCCTACCATGTGTCTTCACCCCTTCTTTTTATCAACATTTAACTCATCGTATCTCTCCCATCTCAAAAAAGCTTTACCAGCTAGTCACAAAGACCTGTCAGTCCCACCTTCTGAACATCCATTGAATCTGTTCTCCTTGAACTCTATCCCAGCAGCCACTCCCCAGTCTAAGCCCCACTACCACACACCTGCATTAATTCCCTAGCTGGTTTCCTTGCCTCCATTTTGGCCCCTTCCAATTAATTTGCTACACTGTGGGCAGAGTGATCATACACAATTCTAACCGGGCCATTTCTCTGCCTGACACTCTCCACTGGTTTCCTCTTGTCCCTGAAAATTAGCCCGCCTGCTAAGGGGATTCTGAAGCCCTGGGACTGGCCCATAGCACTCTCTGGCCCCACCCCTTGCCTCTTCCAGCATGGCCAACCCACCCTGGTGCCTCTAAGGAACCAAGGTCCTCTGGCCTCTGGGCCCTTCTTCTTGCTGTTCCTTCTTTCTAGGATTCTCTCCTCAACCTCTATTGCTTGGTCAGTTGCTTCTCCTCCCTCAGGGCCAGCAGAGACAGTACTTCTCTGGGCTGTTTGGCCACTTCTTGTTTTCTTCCCAAGGCCAAGCCCCAGTGCCATACAGCAGCCAGCACAGCCTAAATCCTATCCTGGCCACACTACTCCCTGATTACAATCCCTTTATGCTTCTCAGTGCCCTGAGGACAAAGTTCAAATTCCTCTATTGGCCTGACCAAGCCATTCCTCTGACCAGCAGGAGTAGGAGAGGAGGGATCCCATCACATACTCTCCTATTCTGATGGATTGGGAGGTGGAGTCATCTGTGAAGAACTTTGGGGGCCACAGAATCTTAAGTAAAGGACAAGGGAGGTGCAGACAGCAAGTGGGGGTGGGTGTGTAGGGGGGCCCCCCATTCGCAAGCGAGCAGAGAGGCTATTAGACAGCTGGTGGCAGAGTGGACTGGGCAGGAGTTCAGCTAAGTGATTCGAACCCCTGCAGCTGAAGGCAGGGGTGGTGGCAGGCCTGTGTTAGTGATCAAGGGACCTTGGTACAGTTCTCACCATCTTTTGTCTGGTGTTAAGTTTGGGTGGAGAGGTGCTGACTTCTACTGTCCCATGGAGTAGGCCCTCTGGGGGCACAGGCCACAGTCTCCATCTGGTGTCCTTTCAGAGAAACCTGACATTGGCCTTGCTGATGCTCAGTCAGATATTTAAACTTGTGTGGCCCTGTCCTCTCCCCATTTTCTAAGCCTCTTTGTTTCCGCTTTCCTTTAGTTTCCTTCTTTCTCTGTCTTTTTTTGGAACTGGAGGTCGAACCTAGCGCTTTGTGAATGCAAGGCAGATGCTTTGCCACAGAGCTATATCCCAGCCCTCCTTTAGTTTCTTAAAAGGAATATTGGGAGGGTCTAACTTTTCTCAGATGAAAGGAAAAGGTACTTCTCCCTGTATTATGGGACAGGAGCATTCTGTGGTCCTCCCACAGTCCAGGAGTTGGCATACGGGTAGATCCCTCTTGAGAAGTTAGGAAGAGTGAGGAAGGATTCAGGGTCAAGTGCCCAGTGGCCTACTTCCCTATCCTTCCCTATCCTTCCCTATCCTTCCCAGCTAAAGGTGGGTCTCCCTGCCCCTTGCATACACATTGTCATCTGCCCAAGCCACAGTCCTTCATCCATCCCACAGAACCACTACCATGTGTCAGGCCCATGCTGGGAACTAGGGATATACAGGTGAGCGAGACCCAGGAGGAGCTCATCACCTAGTTGAGGTGACAAGTACACAAAGAAAGAATTGCAGCTACTGTCCATATTTGGGGGCTCTACGGGCATAGAAAAGGACAAGTCACTAAGTTTCAGGGGAGAGAACCAGAGAAGATTCCCAGAGACTGTGACACCCCAGAGAGCCAGGGTCTTGAAGAACAAGAAAGCAAAGAAAATAGAACATACAAAGACTGGACAAGTGGATTCATTTTGTGGAAATAGTTGAATGTGGCTGGTTTTGGGGGGTCTTTGAGGGGAGAATGAGATCATATGATGTTAGGAAGGGTGTGAGAGGTGAGCCATGGAAAAATTTTAAGGTAGGTTCCCATCTTAGTTTCAGGATGATCACTCTGACTTAAGTGTTTATGGGAGCATGTGGCAGGGGGAGGTGGATTTAAGAGGCAAAAAGAGAAGAGGTCGGGAGCGAGTAGTAAGGAGGCAGTTCAATTCGGGCAAAGACAAAAGGAGTTCCTGCTAGGCAGGGTACAGATGTGGATTAGCGGGCAAATATCTATGAGGGGAATCAGAGCAGTTAGTGATTCATTGATGGAATTGGGGGAAGAGACTGTGAAGGTACCACCATTTAGCACCACTCTGAGATCTCTGACCTGAATGCTAGGTGACTGGTGGCATTTCCAGGTGACACAGAGGAGCTCCTTCAAGGTAGCAGAAAATTCCATTTTGCACGTGTGGAGCATGACTAGGTGTTCTTGGACATCCCTGGCTTTCCCTCTGGGCTGCCCGTGTTGCCCCGTCCCTATAGCCCTCTTCTCCTTGACCATCAGCCCTGTGTTTTTCCAGAAGACAGGCCTGCCCTTGCCTGATGAAAGCAATTTTCTCACGTGAGGGCCTCTAGTGTAATGTTTCTTAGGAGACAATTCTCTTTCCCTGACTCTCTGGCACCTTCCATCTGTACCTTGCACAGCAGGATGTGAAGCAGCAGTAAGCAGCCTTCCTGTGGGCTGATTCCAGTGGGGCTGTCTTGCTACCACCCAGGAAGTGTCAGCACACCACAGAAGGGCAGGTTCCTTCCAGGGCAGGAAGTGACTCTTAGCACCCCAGAATTCCAAACTCCTCTCCTATGCCCAGGAGCCCACAAGCGGGCCAGCTGCTGAAGTGACTAAATGGATGTTCCGGTTTCCAAGGTGGGGTAGGGAGATTCAGCCTCCCAGTCACCCTCAGGGAGTCAGCTGAAGGGAGACAGTGTAAAGGAGGTGCAGTCTCCAGAGAAACCAGCTGAGAACACCCCAAGGCTTCTGGCCTCCCCTTGAATCAGCAAGTGAACAAACGTGAAGGACTCTTCAGGTTCTTCACCCTTTTTCTGGAACCACAAACTCATTATCTTCCCAAACCTGAATGGCCATTCAACACTCTTCCCCTCCTTCCCCTTATTTCCTGAGAGGAGAAATCCCAGGCCTGGCCCAGGCCACCTTCAAGGCTCCCTTTATGAACTGACATGGGAGGGAAGAGCTAGCCTTGGGAGGAGTGGTGTGTGCGCTAGGGAGGAGGGTCTCCCAGGTGAGATGGTGAGGTGAAGATGACAATGAAAACAGCAGCCACCACTTTATTGCACATCTCTCCCGAGCCCAGTCCTTCCATTCATGACAACATTTAATTCTCACAAACAGTGGCAACCTGACCTCTAGTAAAGGCCAGAGAGACTAAGTTGCTTGCTGAATCTCCCAGCTATGAGGTGCCTGGGTTGGGGGTTGGAAGGATTTCAATCCAGGCTTGTCTTATTCTGGAGCCCTTGTTCCTTCTGCTTTGCCACCAGTCATTCTTCTTGATGAGCGGTCACTGGTGCAGTCTCTGGGGTGGACAACAGTCACCCTGTGGAAACCCTTGACGGGTATTGCCGGGCAAGGCTAGAGATGAGGGGTGTTGGAAACAGGGATCCCAGATGTTTCTCTCCCTAGAGAACTCAGACCCAGATAGGCAGAGTGACAGTCATCAGACACACACATGCAGTTCCAAGGAGGCACACGTTAACCTGTAATGTGGAATGTGAGTACATGTGGGCTCCTAATCACATATCACATACCCAGAGAAGGGCTGATGTGGCCCTGAGACATATACACGTTCACACATAAGCATACACATGCATGTCCTGGCACAGTTCTGGAGACGCTGAGACAGGTCCTGGGAAGGAGGGTTCTGGTTCTATCAGATGAGGCTGGCGATGCTGGAGGTGGTTTCATGACGCTGGCCAGAAGACAACTGTCCTGAGATGCTGAAGATGCTGCTATTGCCACCGTGGCCACCATGGGTTGAGGGAGCAGCTGCACGGGTAGCAGGGCAGTGTCCACTCACGCCCACCTGATATAACAGCAAGCCCAGCAGCAAGAGCGAGCCCAAGGCAGCCAGGGCAATCCCCACAGACAGCATGGCGGCCAGTGGCCGAGCAGGAGCCGGGGCGGCAGCCAGTCCAGCCAGGGTTAGGCCGGTGACCAGCAGCACGAGACCACTGAGCAGCACCACCAGGGCATCCACCCCTCCACCGCTGCGCAGCAGGGCCACGTGGTGGGCCTGGCGTATACAGTTCATGTCCTGCACAGCTGAGCTCATCAGCTGCTTCACCAGAACCAGCAGGGCCAGCAGGCAGAGCACAGTGCCTGTTGCTAGGCGCCACTCACCAGAGCGGCTGCTGGTGGAGGACAGCAGGGCCACGCCACCTGCTCCACAGCCTGCCACAAGGCCCACAGCGACGCTGAAGCACAGCAAGGAGCGTCTTGGCTGCTGGGACCACCACAGTTCCACCTGCTCTGCCAGCATGTCGGGGGGCAGCCCCTGGCCCAAAGGGGCTTGAGCTGGTTCAGACATGGCTTAGTTAGGCAGGTCAGGACAGAAGGTCAGCGTCAGGGATCAGGGGGTACAGATCATGGCCTGGTGCCCCTACCACCTGCTTGGCAGTCGCAGGCCCAGAGTCTTGTTCCTTTCTCAGCCCAGGCTATGGTCATCATCACCTGCAGGGGAAGGATCTTGATGTTACGTCCCATCCACCCAGCTCTCATGGTCTCACCTGGGAGCCTTGGGGACGAGCCCTGGGTATCCTCCCCTGTGTCCTCTGGAATCCCCTTTGGGAAAGCCCCCTCCCCAGCACTACCCCTTGGGGAAGCCTCTACAGTGACCCCAGGAGAGTTCTCCCTCCTCCCAGGATACCCCCACACCCTTCCAGGAAATCCCCTTGCCCAGCCCCTGACCTCTCTGGCTCTGGCTCTCTCAGTCGCCTGTCCCATCCTGGCTGGCCGAGGGGGCTGGTGCCACAGTGGACGATGGGACCAACAGCTAGAGATAAAGCCTCATTCAGGATCCAGACTCACATGGCCTCAGCTGTCACCGCTGGTTCCTGGGGGGGGGAGTTGTGGGGAGGGGGGCTGATGACTTAACTCTTCTGGAACCAGTGGCCTGACTCTGTAACTTCTCTCTTATAGAGATGAGTCTCCTCTTTCTCTGTGGGTCAGAATCTGGCCCCTAATACCCTCCTTCCAGGCCTATCTCATCTTACAGCCTGACTGGCAGGAAAAGACTTTGGTTCCCAAATTTCCATCTCCAACCAGGATCTTCCTCCCAAGTCAACTGTCATCATGATGTCCCATTGTCATCTCTGATGCAACAGGTCCCAACCCAAGCTGGTCATCTTACCCCAAACCTGCTTCTCTTCTGTGTTCCCAACTTCAGGATTGCATCACACCTCTCAGCCAGGGGGGCTGGTCTCCCTCTGTCACACCCAGTCCACCAGTCAGGCTGTCTATCTATTCTGTTCCTACAGTAGCCCCCCTGTGCCTGCCTCTTCAGCTCTGACCCCCAATGAGCTTTCTGCTGCCCTACTCTTCTCCACTTTCACCCACACCCCACCCATGTCATCCTCCTTCATGGTTTCTTTAAAGTGCTGAGGAAAAAGAAAGGCTCTGGACTTGAACCCCAGTCCAGCCCTCTCCACCATGGAAACACGGGGAGGGACCTAACAGTGGTTACTCATTTAACCTGTCCTCTAGGGGACAGCCAGCATGACTCACACAGGGCAAAAATAAAGCAGGTGCAGTCCCTGCCCTCAAGGAGCCCAGTTTGCCACAAACATCAGAAATATCCTGTTGGCATGCTAGGAGTTGGGTGTGCTTGGTCAGACAGGGCCCTCTGCACCCAGGAGAGATGATGGGGAGAGTCAGGGGGCCCCATGAGCTCGGCTCTTAGAGCTTCAGTCTCCTTATCTAAAAAGCAAGGACAGTGACATTTGTCTTAAAGGATGGAAGGGAGTCATTTGACCTCTTCCTTTCAGAATTCCAGTGGGGCCTGGAGTCTGCATAGAGGCTGAAGCATGCTTTTTGGAAAAGTGAACCCGATGTTATCCCTCTGATTCCAGATAGGACGGAGCATAGGTCCTGGATTGTTCCAGATACGATAACATGACTGTGCAGGGGTACACCCTGAGGAAGTATGCATGCTCCACGACCCCTCCGCCGGGGCTACCAGGCACGGGGGAAGTGGGCGGGGCAGATACTCATGCCTCCAAGGGAGGTGGGGGAGGGGCCGTGGGCGGGGCATGGACTCTGTCCCAGCATTCCCTTGGGTTGTGACTCGCTGGTCTGAAAGTACGGGCACAGGTGTATCGGGTCAGCGGGCGCCAGGCTGGGGGTGGGGTGGAGGATCTCAGGGCGAGAGCTAGTGGGAGAAGGTGGGGGCGGAGCGGGTGGGGAGACTGTGGGGCACTCACGAGAAGCCTGGACGTGCTGGATCCGATTTGAGCAGGCAGGGCCGGGCAGGTGGGGCGCTCTAGCTCCGTTTCCGGGGAGGCACTTCACCTGCCTAACCTGCACTCAGGTGAGCCTGGAGGGAGGGGGGATTAACAGGTGTTGTTTACAGGGCAGGGCCTAAGCCGATTGGCTGACGTGGCAGCGCTCCTTCTGCTGGGCAGAGGCATTCCTGGGAAGGGAGGGGATTTTGTCGGCTGCTGTTGGGGCTCGGAACACCATTCGCTGCGGGAGGAATGTTGTCTATCGGCCCCAGAGCCTGGGCCGCAACCCAACCCCCACTTCAGATTTACCTCGGAACCTACCTCCAACTCCAGCTGCACTTGCAAACCCTATCTAGAACCCCTCACCCCCAGCCGCAGCTCCTTTTCTACACCCAACTGCTCATCTGGCCTGAAACTAACTCCTAATTTCAACCCAGATTCTGAACTTAGATCCCAGACCCCAACCCTACCCTCAGCCCCAACCTTGACTCCTGTTCCTGAGTCTAGCTCCCTCAAACCCAATTCCAACTTCAAATCCCAGGACCTCCGTCCGTCCCTTGACCTTCCCAAGCTGGACCCCCAAAAACCCTTTGCTTATTCTCCTCTAGTCTCAAATGCCAGGCAGAAGCGGGCCTGCTGCACCCAGCCTTTCCTGCTGGGGAGGCCTGGAGGAGGAGTAAAAGCCTTTCAAGGGGAAAGGGAGATCCCAAAATAAACACTTGACAATAAATGCCATACCGCCTTCCAGTCAGGATGAGTGTCAGTCAGTTCTGCAGGCTCTGCCCTCCACCCTGCCCTTTGCATTTTGAATTCAAGTTCCTTCCACCTGGAATATTTGCCACTCCCCAGATACAGTCTGGTTTACTCAGATTCTTCAGCTGAGATGTCACCTCCTCCAGGGAGCCCTCCCCAACCTAAGGCTGGCTTAGGTGCACGCATGGCCTCTGTGCTTCCTCACAACTCTCTTACTGCAGTGGGCCTAATGCCCTTTATTTACTTTCCTCTTAACAGCCCCCCCACTAGATATGTGGCCCCTAGGGAGTACAGGGATGGTGCCTGTCTTGCTAACCGTCATGCCCTAGTAGCCAGCGCTCAGCCTGCACACGGGAAGCAGTCAATATTTGTTGAATGATTGACTGAATAAATAAAGTGTGAACTGACCAGTGTAGAGGTTTTGAGGAGGGAGCATGTGAGAGGAAACTGGAAGGACAAGTTTGGCTCAGGCTTTGTTTGGGACGAGGTCTTTAATTCCAAGGGAGGCATTTGGCCTGGGCAGAGTGCCCATGGAGGGTCTGAAGGGTGACAGGGACATAGTTGATATTCTTTTTCTCCTTCTTTGAATTAAATACAGGGGTACTCTATCACTGAACTATACCTCCAGCCCTTTTTATTTTTTGAGACAGGATCTCACTAAGTTGGTAAGGCTGGCCTCAAACTTGTGATCCTCTTGCTTCAGCCTCTCAAGTCACCAGGATGACAGGCATGTGCCACCACACCTGGCAGGGTTCTGCTTCTAATCAGCTAATCTGGCACTACACACCCCGTGCTCTGGAGTGGCAAATGGGTGACTGATTGGGAGGGGGGGCGTGCAGGCTGTTAGTTATCTTCGGAACTAGATCTTTTAAGGCCCCTTCTTTCTTTCTGATGTAAATGGAATAGAAAGAAAAACAAAGTCAAAATGATCTTTTCATTATCAGTTTGCAGAATAATTGCACCTGAGCTGTTTGTATTTCTCTTTGCTTTGCTCTGTGGAGATAGCTGGAGGCTGTCGTAACTCCAGGACGACACATCTGTAGATGCACACCTTGAGCACCTAAGTAATTAAAATGTTCCCAATAACATGTTTCAAGAGAAACAGGTGTAATTCACACATTAAAATGAATATATTTTAATTCCCAAATATATTTTAATATACAAGTTACAAATGAGCTATTTGACAATCTTTTTATTTTGTACAAAGTCTTGAAAATTTTACACCCACAGTGCATCAGTTCAGATTGGCCACATTTCAAATGCCCAATTGCCACCGTTTGGCTTGTGGTTATGTCCTCACTGGGGGCCACAGCTCTAGATGTTCGTCTTCTGAAGAAAAGCTTGGGGCAAGCTGAGCACTGTGGGGCAGGCCGGATGTGGGGGCAATGATGTTTTAGGTGTTCATTTTGCCACTTTGCAAAATATTATAAAGTTGTCCCTTTAGAATAAAGGGGCTCATGGGAGCAGAGGGCCTGGCAGGATTTGCCAGCTGTGGATTCCTCTTTTTTTGGTATGGTCTTGGGAATTGAACCCAGGGCCTTGTCAATGCAAGGCAAGCACTCTACCAACTGAGCTATATCCTCAGCCCTGTGTCCTCTTACACACATCAGACATTTATTTATCATCTGGGTCCCAAGGAGGGTACAGTCCCAGGCAGACATCACTGTCTAGCAGCTCCAGGCAGAGCTGGGGTAGTAGACTGATAAGATTTAACCTCCCTTTCTTCTGGGAGTTTGAAGTGGGGGAGCGTAAAAGCTTTCTCAGTTTAAACATTGACCAGGCACATCTTTGTTCTAGTCCTGGGTCTTGTCAAATGACTTGCAGTTAAAGTGGACAGGCAGGTTCTGCACAGGGATGTTGCCCTCAAAGTGGAGGTTGTGGGGACAGCTCAGATGGGCAGTAATGAAGATCAGGAGGAGGAGGTGGTGGCAGTGAGTGTGCTGGGGAAAGTGTGCATTCCATCTGTCCTCAGGAGCATTAGAAGATGAAGGGTGGGAGTCCTGGGAGGGGAAGGGAGAGCTGGGGGCCATTTCCTGCTTCTGCCTTGTTCTCACCTCACATTCTGCTCACCCTGGAAGCCAGAATGATCCTATTGTTAGGTAGAGCAGGTAATGTCACTGCCTCTGACCCTCCAGGTTCTTAAGGCCCTCTCTGACCTAGTTCCTGTTACCTCAGAGTCTCTGCACCGGCTGTTCCCTCTGCCTGGAATGCCTTTCTCCCATGTGGCTCCCTCCCTCAATTTCAGGCCACCCTAAAATTCCAGTCTCCCCCAATATTTCCGATTCCCCCCACCTTGATTTCTTTGTTTCCCCTTTAGCATTCTTTTGTACACTGTATTTTTTTTTTTTTGTCTGTCTGGAGTATTTTCTGCCTCACTGGGGGCCACCACAATCTAAATGTCACGAAAAAAGGATTTTTTCTTCATTGGCTACTATATTCTCAGGAATAGAAATAGGAATAGGCCTGATATATCTTGCATGTGTGATAAATGTTTATTGAATGAATAACTGAGTAGTGGAAAGTATACTGGTTTTGGAGCTAGATCGATCTTGAAGATTCCAGTCCCAGCTCTAGATGTTTAACATTAGTAAAATTGCTTACCCTTTGTGGGTCTCAGTGTCTTCATTTGTAAAATGGGGTCATTAGTGTTTAATCTAATCCTAAGGAGGATTAAATACTGTAATTCATCCACTGAGCATACATTTACTGTACCTCTTGTCTGGACTAGGTAGAGTGCAGGTGCAGGAGACACAGGAATGGGCTAATAAGTCTAGGAGAATAGCACAGGGAAGCCATGTGGCTCACGTAACTGGCCCCAGGTAACTGGGGCTTCAGTGGCTCTAGGTAACTGGCCCCAAACTTTGCAGGCTGATGGTTCCCTGTTATAGACATCTTTTGAGGTATCAGTCCCACTCACAATAACCGTTCTCTTTGCAGGAAAGAACCCTGGCAACTAGGATTATATTTTGTGACTCAGTCCTCTGACTACAGGTAACTAGGTAGAGGTAAGCTCCCAACTCAAGCTAGGTCCAACGATTCCCTTGTGGAAATTTAAAGTTGGACTGGTGATTTTGTTTCAGCCTGGGGACTTCTTATCCATTCATCTATTATTCTTCTGTTCTCATTCATCTATTAATGAGAGATGCTAAAATACTCTTCTGCCAGCTGAATTGTCAATTAAAAGCTGGTCTGGACAGAGAGGCACGGATAAGAAAGGGAGAGGGGTTCTACCAATGTTCCAAGTCCTGGCTCAGGTTCTTCTTGAGATTTAGGTACTACATTGCCAAGAGAGTCCATGACACACACCAAGAGCCAAATAATAAATTCTCCTTTTGTGCTTAAGTTGGCTAGTTTGTTTCTGTTACTTTTGGCAAAAGAAGGGCACCCACAGCTCCTCTGTTCATTCAGAACTAGAATCTTCTAGTCCTAATTTTAATAATAACGTACTACACACAGTATGTGCCTAGAAAGTTGCAGTTTATCCTCACTGCCCCTGCCAAATCCCATCATGTGACACTACCTGAGCAATAAATATAAATTCCTAAATACTACTGCCATAGTACATGATCAGCAACTGCTGCTGCCCAGCAGGATTATTTCTTTCTAAGTCTGTTCTCCTGCTCAGCTCAGCTCAG